GGGCTCAGTCGATGCGCTGTGGTGTGCTTTTACTCCCAGATGGATCTGGTACCAATTCACCGTCCCGGAGGACAGAAGACTCGCTTGGCCTGGGCGAGAGCCAATCTGGGATTTCTCCCCCCCCCCTCCGAACCCGTAGTACCTGAAAAAATAATGCATGAGACGCTGACCAGTTTTATTCAAAAGTGCACCATTCTTTGTACTTTCAACCAGAGTTGTAGTACCTTTTTACCACGGAGGAAGAGATCGTTTAGTTGGCCTTAACGCGATCCGAGCAAGCTTGTGTACTGAGCATGGTGAGTAGCGCCTGACACGCCTAATGGTAAGGGGGAGCTGTTCAAAAATGGAGTTATCCACCACCCAAAATCCGAATGATCAATTTGATCTATGGAGATGCCATTTTTCACCGCCTGAAGAGAATAACCGCGTACTCCTAGTATCATATGGGTACAGCATCGTGATGTTGAGATGGTGGTGTCAGTACGACCCCCCCCTTTCCAACACCTACCTACCAATTCCCCACATTTTCCAGTTTTTCACCCGAAAATTTTCCGTCGAGCGGGAACGTGGAGGGGGGTAATAGCACACATGAAACGGGTAAAACCGCGAAAAATCAACAACCGGGAGAATTTTTTTCCGAACGCGACAAATTCCAATCCAAGCAATCGAGTACAACCCCCCCCCTCCCAGCGGACAAGTACGACCCCCTTTTTGTTTCACACAACCCTGAATGGGAATGCTCTACCCTGAATGGGAAAGCTCCCGTGCCTCGGCTACCTTACCTTGGGGTCCAGCGTCGTTGACATTCTGCCTACTTAATTACTTCGTTTTCAGGCGACGATTCGTCAGGAATTCAGGGATAGTACGGTGTTCACAATCGCTCATCGCCTGAACACCATCATAGAGTACGACAGGTGGGTTCTTCGGCGTATCAAGGGCAGCCTTTTCCCAAGCTGTGCCCCTCTGAGGGCGCAACAGTTGGTGGAAAAGGCTGGTCCTCATGCGACAGCGGCGCGGCGAAAGCTCCGTTGCTGGCGCTGCAGCGCTCGCATTGGGGTCTAATTAATTGAACGTGAAAGCGCCAGATTATGTCAATCTAACAAATATGGTTTAGTTGCCTCCCGTCACGGATCTACCGTGGATCTCCCGACCGCAACCCTTTTTACATTGTTATACCTTATTTCAACTTAATTAATCTCTTGATCGCGTTGTAGGATCATGGTGCTGGACAAAGGCCGAATCATAGAGTTCGATTCACCTCAGGCACTGCTGGCGGACCCCGATTCCGCCTTTTCGAAAATGGTGCAAGAATCGGAATTCGGGTCAAAAAAGACGAATTAAAAGACAGGCTTGAGGGAAAAGTCACAGTATACTTATTGGAGATTCAGTAAGGATTTCTAGTCATTGTTGACTATTTTTCATATTTTTATTGTTTATCAACTGGACTCTCTTTCATACGCTGTAATATTGCTCATCGATAATAAATTATTAAGTGAACATGCATTTTCCGCCTCTCTGGTCAATGCTTTTCGATGGCCTTTAGTGACTTCGGCGTTGCTCGACTTGGTGGGGACACTTTACTGGTTCCTATCGACCACTGGCGATGCCTTCTGTGATGACCTAAATCCCTGCAAAGCTCGGCAGCTTCATTAGCTTCGTTTGCACTTGACAACAGTTTACAGGTCTCACCAAGGTGGTATGTGTAGGTTCACAGGAACTAGCATTAGGACAATATGCTCCTCCCCCCACCCCTCCCCTTCCCCTTCTGAGTCGAATAGCATCCGGATTTTCAAACGAACACCACGGATACATCCACCCAAAAACATGACGCATAACATGTTTCGAGCTCCATGCACAAGAGCGATAATGATTGAGAGAGCAGTTTAGGTACAATTCATATCCCGAAGCTGGGAAGGGCGTGGTGTGGAAAAATCTGGTGCGTTTTTCGTGAGGTACTTTCATTTGAAACATCTATCATTCCGTCCTAGGCTGGCCTAAAACGTGACTTCAGCTGTACTCAGACGGCAAGATTCCACCATAGCTTAAGTTGTGCTACATTTCTATGAAGTGCGCAGCCACGCCCAGCCTATGGTCCGGGATACGGGGTGTAAGTCGACCCGTGTGGTAGGATGTCTGTATTGCGGCAGCACAGAAAACTGGACTAGCTCAGCGCACGCAGTATTTCCAAGCTAGTTGAATCGTCTTAGGCAGCGTTCAGACTTCGCGACTGCAGCGCTCTCGTCGCGCCTTTGACGCGATCGATATCCATCTTCGCGATCGATATCCATGCTTTCGACTGCATTGACCGCGTCGAACGCGCGACCGTCGCGAAGTCTGAACGCTGCCTTATTGCGGCACTTCATCGACAGAATTTCTGGGCCGCTTACGCGACACCGCTTCGCTGCCACGATTCAGATCTCCTGACCCACGCTTGTTCTGGTGTCAATACAGTTTCAGCCTACAGTTTTCACCACTAACCATATCGTTTAAGCACTAAATTTATCCCTGTATCAAAATACTCATACATAACAAGAGTTATTGCACTTTGCACAGTATACAAACATTGCAGTTCTTTACAATAAACAGTTTAATAGCGATAAATAAGCTGAACATTACAAGAACGGCCTATCTTACATCTTTTAGGGATAAATAACAACCTAACAAAAGGCATACAGTCGTAACGAAACATGAGGGAACCCATACAAACTTGTTAGTGATCAATGGGGTCTAACATTAGTTGAGGTGGGGGGGGGGTAAAGACATTGAAATTTTTTAGAAAAAGTGAATGAATACTGAGATAGTCACTAATAAAAGCACTAATAGACCCAAAGGTTCCACGTAATAACAAAATCACAGAGCAAAGTAAAGAAAGAATCAGTTATTAGTGCTTGGCACTCTATGTTCATCAGATGTAGGTCAAAATTGATTAGTCACGTTGACATCGCCGCAATCATACGGGGCGGGGCCAGAAGGGGTGGGATGAGCCCACCAGCGGTGTTTTTCTCCACTGGCTGTCTCTTCACTGAACCGGCCACTATTCCTGAAAGAGGCAGCCAGGGGCTCGGTCCATTCCACGCCTCCTGACACCGCGCCATCGGACTGCGACGAATCAACTATATTTGGTCGCTATGACTGGTTTCACTCATCGTTATCCTCGTTTCCAAGCAGACCCTCCCTTTCGATATCTTCTGA